CCCCGTGCCGCCCCGCCCCGCCCCGCACAAGCCGCGCCCCTTCCTCGCCCCGCCCCGCGCGCGCCCGCGCCCGGCGGAGGCTGAGAGCGCGCTCCCGGAGCGCCGGGCGCGGGAGGGGAAGGAGGAAGTAGGTCCCGGCCCTGGAGAGCCTCCTCGGGCGTGTCCTCCAGCATTTACTGGAGCGGCTCGGGTTAATCCCACAGGGCCCAGGCGCCTCCCCAAACCCCGGTAGTGCCCGCTCAGCCCAGAGCAAGGGTGAATATTAGAGGATCGTAAAGGCTAGGCGGGAAAGTCACAGAAGGGAATGTTAGTCATAGTTAATCTTAGCATACAGAACGACCCCCGGCCTTTCAGGCAAAAGGAAGAAAAGAGTTGCTGTCAGCACAATGTAGGAAATTGAGCAAAAGCAGGTGGGGTGTGCACCTGAATGAGTCAAACTCTTGGCCAGACCTCAACTGTGATTCTGGGCCTGAACTCAGAGGTGTGTGAAACGCGCAATTCCAAATGAAACCCCTGCCTGTTATCCCTGCCCTGCCTTAATTTGGGAGTGAGTAGGAGAAAAGGTCAAAGCCGCCTTTTAGACAAGGCCTTGCAAGGGCCCTTTGCAAGGCTAGCTGGTGTGTCCTACTGTGCCCTAAGTCATGGTGCATTAGAGTTATAAAGATGAGTGACAATACCCGTACTCTGGCTGAACTTGCCCCTTGTGGAATAGCTGAAAGTTATCCCCTGGGCTTGGCACCTCACAAGTCACACCTGCACATATGTCTTATTGCCTATTGAAGCAAAATAAGGGACAATCTCTGGTTGCTTCCTGGGCTCTTGATTGATTTTTGATTATCGTCATTCTGGGAAAACGCAGACAGTGACTCCTGGCATGGCAACAGGGGAAGCGCCTAGTGATTCACCTGTCATTACAGGGCTCCAGCCTTAAGTTCAGCCACTACTGAACCTTTAACCATGGTTTACAAAATATCAAAACCACCAATTTCCATTCAAAACCTATTCTCTCAACCACTTACGCTTGAAATATGGGAATCATTCCCCACTTGCTCCCTCATTTCCCTTATCTCCTATAATTCAAATCAAGCACATTCCTTGGAACTATCTTTTTTTTAAAGATTTTATTGGGAAATTGGGGGAGCGGAACAGCGTTGGGGAATCAGGGAAGGGGAACAGACAAGTTGCTGTCCTTTT